TGGGCCTGCAGTGGCTGTTTAGTGGCATGCAGCAGTCTCTAGAGCTTGCACGGGTGCCTAGGTCACATGTAGTACGGACACCACAGGGATTTGCCACCCAAATCCCCAGGAGAAGAAGGTGCTGCCCTTTGGTTGGAGGTAAGCGAAAATCATGAAAATATTTTTCCCAGCTGACCTCATGGGTACCTTGAACTACTTGAGGCAGCTGCTAGGAGTGTGAGAACCTCAGGACAGAGGGCTCTAGGTATTGAGTGGCCTTTGTCACAGTACGCTCTGTCCTCGAGCACCCAGGGCTGAAAAGGAAGCTGCAGGGTCGCCATCTCGGCTGGCTCTGAGGTCGGAGGAGTGACAGTTCAATTTTTCCATGTCATCAGGGAGAAGATGGCCCGTGTCATAGTCCCGGGGCTGGCCCATGGGAATCGAGCCAGAAATAAAGGCTGGAGGATCGAGCAGTCGAGGACAAAGCAATGGAGTGGCGAGAGACATCCCACGGGATGCCCCAGCGTTCAGCTGTGTCCAGTCTGAGTCCTGCCGCCTGAGCCGTGAGCCTGAGGGCCCTGCCCTCGGGGTGCCGGGTGCCACCCTCGCCCTTCACTGCGGCTCCAGCGCCTCTCATCCCGGCCTGGGAGTGCAAGGGCCCGCGCTGGAGCCAGATCTTTTCAGACCGCTTCTCTGATCCTGCCAGGAAGCAGGAAGCAGGCCCCAGGAGAGGGGGATGTCAGGAAGGGCCTCTTCCTCCTGAGTGATGTCCCGGGGAGCTGGGGGGGGGGCGCACCCCTCACTGGAGGCTGCTGTCTTGTCTTTTCTTTCTTTGTCCTTTTAAAAACCCTCCGCGGAAGGCAAGTCGCCCAGTGAGTCGTTGAGGGAGCGAATTCCAAGCGCATGAGCCACGCACGCGTCTCTCAGGACAGGTCTGGGCCAGGAGAAGCGCGGACCATGCCAATAGCGGTTGCTGCCGCGCTGGCTCGAGGGGCTCTGCCTGAACTTGCGCCTGCTCCCTGCACCCTGAGATGAAGGGAAGCAGGGCCCGCTTTCCCTGCTCCTGCTTCCCCGTCCCTCCCCACGCACGCCCTGGAAAGCTCAGCCGCTTCCTGCTGTCCGTTGGGGGCTCTGCGTTTGCTTCCCTGGGAGCTTCAAGCGGACCCCGCCCGAGATCCCGGAATGACGGACAAGGGCAGGGCGGCCGGCCAGGCACTGCTTGGGCCCGGCTCACCCTTGGCTCTCCATCCCAGACCACAGCACCGAGCCTGGGTGCAGAGGAAAAGCAAGCTGGTGGCAGGGGCTGGAGAGAGAAGGCAGCGTTGTTCAGAGCAGCTCACAACGTCTGTCCCTCCTGGGGGCCTTCCCCGCGCCTTGGCTTCTCTCTCCTTCCACAGGGGTCTCCAGATTGCGTTGAGTTTAATGCATACCATGGGAAAGAGAAGTCTTCATTCCCACATTGATTTGTCGTGGGGCCTCATGGAATGAGTTGAATCAAATCCTTTGTAAAAAGAGGTTGGGGTCATCTTTTTGTGGAATATTTTTTGGTCTGTTTCTGTTAAGTGCCCTGCCTGGGCCTACAGAGCGTGAATTTCCTAGTGCTGTGAACGCTTAGTTTCTGTCCTCCATACACAGTTGTTGTTTCTGGGATTTGGTTTTGAGCTGTTTGCGGGCAAGAACTGCACTTACTCCCTCTCTCTCCTTCTCCCTGCCATTGCACAAGTATTTCCTGCACACCTACTATGTGCCATCATGGTCTCCTCTCCATTCCATTCCTACTCTAACACTTAACGTGACTGTTAACAGGTAGTGGGTGTCAGATGAATGAACGAAACGTTAAGTGGCACTTCAGAAAGCAGGCCAGAGTTTTAGGCTCTCCTGAAAGGTGTGGATGTGGTTAACTCCTTAGAAGATGCCAGGCAGCAGAGAGATGGGCTGGCACTGGGGCTAGGAATCAGGACCCAAGGTTGCCAGTACCACCTTGTTGTTTCAGCGCTGGGATTACAGGCGCGCCACCATGCCCAGTCTCACTCGCTGCCTCATGGGGGGGCCACAGCACAAGGGGGAGCGAACCCTGGTCTCCCTGCTTCCTGCAGCACGAGGGGGAGCTGCACCTGCCTTCACAGGCACGTTAGTCTTCTGAGATATCTGGAAAAAATGGGCAGTCTTGTGGCTTCTTGTAGACCCAGAGAACTACGATTCTGCAGAACTATGACCTCTAGAAACTGTGGCCCTCCCCAACCCAACTCCACAAAACCAGATTCTCCCCTACAACAACACAGTGACCACCAGACCCACGCCCAGATTATTTCTTGGACTTGCTCTTCTTGGTCTGACTCAGAACTGGCTGTGTCTTTTCTTGTTCAACAATCTACAGGGGCTTCCCAGGACTGGTCACATCCAGTCAACTTCTCTCTCTTTGGCTTTCAGAAAAATATAGAGCCCACAAATTGACATTATTCCCCAGTGCTCAGTGTTGGAGCCCTACCTGCCAATGAGGAAGCCATCTTGGGGCCGCCATCTTGGGGCTGCCATCTTGGGGCCGCCATCTTGGGCCGCCATCTTGGGCCGCCATCTTGGGGCCGCCATCTTGGAGTGTTTCTTGTTTCATTTCTGTCATCCCCAACTCAGGGATGATATATATTTCTTTTTTTTTTTTCTTTTTTTTTTTTTTTTGGTGGAACTGGGGATTGAACTCAGGCCCTTGTGCTTGCCAGGGAAGCACTTATTCCACTGAGCCATCTCCCCGGCCTATATTTCTAATTTAAATTGGTCTTGATTAGATAGGTCATCCAAAAGTAAGAATTCACTACAGAAAAGAAAACAAACAAATTATCCACATTTCTACCCCCAAAGGAAAAACTCCTGTCACTATTTTGGTTTACTTTCGCCTAAACTTTTTTTCTTTTAAAATCAGAGTAAGATTTTCACAGAAGAACTATATTAATTTCATTATCCATTGCTTACGGTTAGTTGGGTGTAGAGGTCATTTTTAATCTTCACCATAATCTACGTGGTGTAAGGAACAGCCTGTAACTAAATCTTTTTATACGTCTTTAATTATTTCCTTGGGCTAAAATTCCTATCTGAGGAATTACTGGGATTAAAGGCTTTTTGATGACGGAGGGGGTAGGGATGGGGGACAAAGAGCCAGCTTGAGAGACAAATCCTTCTTGGAGTTGGAAGGAAACAGGCTGAGGAAGTGATAATTTCTCTGTCTCTGTCTCTCTGTCTCTCTCTCTTTCTCTTTGCCTACAGTGCTGGGACTCAAACCCATGGCCTCATGCATGTTAGGCAAGCATTTTACCACTGACCCACATCCCAAGCCCAATCTCTGTCTTTTCCTTTGGGAAGTGGCCAGGTTCAGGAGCATCACGAGCACCCTTGCGTCCTTCCCAACCAACCTCGAGGGCCTCAGATTTCTAGAAGGTTCTCCAAAAGCGCTATGCGGGGGGTGGGGGGAGCAAACAGCTGATCCATCTTTAGCAGGTGGCAGAAGCTGCCACGCAGGGTGTGGCTCAGGAGCCACCCTCTCCCAAGTCCCCAGTCCCCGTTTTCCTGCCCTCCACGCCCCTCCCCCTCCCCATCGATGAACTTGGACAGACACATGTGATTGACTGCGGGATTAAGAAAATCTGTATGACACAATGTTTTTTAGCTTTTTCCAGAGATATTTTATCACACAAATGGCATGTTGGTTTCTCCCCTGTCTTAGCCACTAAGAATGAATAAATCAATTGTTGTAATCAGGCTAATGGACAGCACAAAGGCTAGACAGATAGGTGGGTCGGGCTCTTGTAAGCCTGCTGAGGCCTGACTGAGGGGTGGGGTGGGGGGGGTGTCTCACTCAGCCTCTTCCTACCTCCAGGCCTCTTGGAGACGGCATGGTAACACAGAGCTTCTCCTGACTTGTAGGGGTTAAGATCTTGCAAAGTATTGGAGTTCCTTGGAAGACAGTAGCTACAGACCTTTTTAATCTTTTTTTGGTCTCAACCCTTTGGATCTGCGCATAGGAGCGGTGCTGTATGCACAGAGAACTCACCACAGTGTTCTAATTTATAAGGTTTATGTCTCACACAGTCCCGTAGACCTGACCTTTCAGAGCAACTTGAAATTGTGAGGGGGGAGGGGATTAGTTTGTTGTGGTTGTTGTTATTACATAAAAATTAATGGCTTGACAAACACAGGGATTGTTGTGCTCTGCAGAGGTCATGTTTACACCAAGCAAATATATTTCGGGCTTCTTAGCCCTTCAGTAGTACTGTGCGGCCGGTCGAGGTGCAATTCCCATGCAACACTGAGACTCCTGTGCCAGATTCCTCAGAGCTCCGAGGAGGGGGGATGTTGATGAGTCCTGATTCGGGGCAGAACCCCATCAGGCCCCAGATTCCTAACAAAGTGGGTTGTTCAGGTCCTGATTTATTGAAGTTCCACAGTCTTCCCCCCCTCGGGCAATGAAAAAACCCCAGAGAAAGGGACATTCCCAGGGATGAGCCATCCGAACTTGGACCGCGCTCAGCATGTATCCATTCACCGTTCACCAAATATTTATTGAGTGCTGAGTGTGTGCCAGAGACTGGGCCGAGTGCTCGGAACACACAGAGGATGGCGGAAGGCCGGGTGGCGGGGGAGGGGTGGGCCAGGCCGCTGATGGCCAGCGAGCAGGAGTTGCACCCGGAAACGTAAAATTCAGACCCAATTTCAAACTATGCAAGGGAGTCCGAGGGACCCAGTTGCCCTTTAGAGGGGACTTGACCTAGTGCTGGAGAGAGGGAGCAGAGAGAGCAGGACAGCAGGGGCAGGCTGACGACACCACAGCTCCGGAGACCCTGGGTAAGACAGAGTGACCTGTTTGAGGACATGTGAGGCTGGAGTCCAAAGAATGAGGCCCAAAGAACAACAGGATGGCGCTAGGCACCCCATTGCAATGGCAATAAAGAAAACCCAGAGAGAGAGAGAGAGAGAGAGAGAGAGAGAGAGAGAGAGAGAGAGAATGAATAACAAGGGTTGGTTGGCAAAGATGTGCAAAAATCAGATCCCTGGTCTGCTGTTGGCAGGAGTATAAAACAGCCTAAGCCCTGGTGGAAAACAGTTTGGCAGTTCTTAAACAAGCTAAGCACAAGAGTTACCATGTGACCCTGCAATTCCATCCCTAACTATGTACCCCAGAGAACTGGAAACAGATGGCCACACGGCGCTTGCCCGCAAATGTCCGGGGAGGTGCTCTTCACCGCAGCCGAAAGGTGGAAGCAATCTAAATGCTGACCAACAGATGACTGGCTCAACCAAGCGCAGCCTGTCCATCTTGTGGAGTATTACTTTGCCCTGAAGAGGAATGCAGTATGGACACATGCTGCAATGTAAATGGAACTTGATAATGTCATGCTAAGTGAAAGTCAACACAGGCAAAAGGCCATCACATTGGATGATTTTGTTTATATAAGATACTCAGAGCTGTGGGTCAGTGATATAGCTCAGTGGACTAAGTGCCTGCTTAGGCAAGTGCAGGGACCAGGGTTCAATCCCTGGCACCACATGCTGCACCAGACCCGCCCCCCCAGGCACACTGAGCTGGCCATGGAGACCAGGCATGGTCAAGCACACCTGTAATCCCTGGGCTGGGGAGGCTGAAAATGGGAGGATCACTATGAGTCCATACTGCATGGTGAAATCCTGTACCAAATATATGTTTTTAAAAAATACTCAGAGCTGGGCATGGTGGTGCATACCTGTAGTCCCAGCTCTCAGGAAACTTAGGCAGGAGGATCACCATGGGTCTGAGGCCAGTCTGGACTATACAGCAAGGCTATGTTTGTTTGTTTGTTTGTTTAAATGAAATAAAATATGCAGTGTCAGGGAGCGGCTTGGTTGCCAGGGTTGGGAGGCAGAGGAAGAGTGGGTAGTGGCCCCAGTAGGTGTGGGGTTTCCCTTTGAGGTGATGAAAATGTTCTGGATTAAATAGTACTCACAGTTACACAGCAGCATACATCTACTGAATGCCACTGAGTTGGGCGATTTTGAAAAGGTAAATTTCATGTTACCTGGTTATCATGATTTGTTTCTTGAAAGGGTGGGGCTCAGGAGGTGGAGGAGGCAGCAGATCAGAGGCCTGGGAGCAGTAAACCTACTGGTGGAAGGACCTGGGAGGTCCGTGAGGAGGTAGGAGTGGGGGTCCAGGAAGGGGACACGGATGGCCTGGACGGGGGTGGCCGCGGCAGTGGAGACGAGGGGCAGATCTGAGCGGAAGTAGCAGATAAGATGCAGGGCGCCAGGTGTCGGACGCACAGCCATTCAAAACTGTCTGCTCTGGCCTTCCTCCCCATGTGTGCATGTACAGGGAAGACGCGTGTCCTCAGAGGGAGACTGAAGCCGGTGCTGGCACAGGGTCCCCGGACCCAGTGTTTGCTTTTCTTCCTGCTGGACCTCCAGCGAGTAAAGTCATCACTTTGGGCCTCAGTTTCTTCCTCTGTAAAATCGGGGCCCTAGGACTCACAGCCTCTGGAAAGACACAGGCACCTGAGGCCGGCAGCGCCTGTCCTCGCTTCCTCCTGGGATTCTTGGGAGACACAAAAGAACCTACCGTCCTTCCAGGTTGGCACCATGGCCTAAGACAGGCAGGGCCCGCACTAGTGATGATGAGGTTTCCTGCAGAACGCAGGTGCCTGTGGGAAATCCACCGAAGCCTCGCTTTCCAGTCGCTCTGCAGGTGATAGATGGTGGGTGTTAAAAGCTATGCTTAAAATATAACAAAACGAAACTGGAGGACTCCAGAAAGCACTGTGAGATTAGAGGGCTGCTGACACAGGTTTTCTTCCCTCCTTGCTCCGCCCCCTCCAGCGCAGGCCCCGCCCCCAGATAAGCCCCACCTCCGGCTCTGACCACGCCCCATAGGCTCGCGCAGGCCACGCCCCCTGGCGCCGGCCTCTCGGGGCTGGACGCTTCCACCTGCGCTAAGCGCTTAGTGCCTGGGAGGAGACGAGGGGGCGCTCGATGGGTGGAAGGGGGGCAGTTCGGAAACTGGCAGGTGAGACTGGGGAAACTAGTCTGAGACAGATCCCTCCTCCCCTGCCTCTTTGCCCGCCCCCTTGCCGAGGGCCTTGGCTTTTGCATAATGTAAGTACTTGTTTAATGTGCTCGCTGGCTCCGGAGCTCGCCATTTGTCTTTCTGCCCCCTCATTCGCCGTGTGCTTCCGCCCTGTGTCTGCCTCTGTGGGCGCGCCTGGAGAGGAGGGTCCTTCCCTACAGCTCCTGTGTGACCCCCGGCCTGGGGCGGAGGCCAGCGAGCCAGCGAGGCTGGGGCGGCGGGGGAGGGGTGGGGAGCCAGGGGGCGGGGGCAACGCGCCTGCGAGCCCAGCTCTGATGCCAACTTGGATGCCGTCCTCTTCTCCAATAAAAGGAACTTTTCACTTGTTTTTCAAGCACCCTTTGCTTTTTTTTTTTTTTTTTTTTAATTTAAAGAGACTGGTTCGTATCCGTCTGATTGGATGCACCCCCGGCGCAGAAGCGAGGCTGTCCTGCGCGCTCCCGCGCTCACACACAAGCACACACGCATGCACAAGCACGGTTTTCCCCTTGTATCTACTCCGATTACAACCGCCCCTCCCCCACGGCCCCTTCCTGTCCTGGATCTTGGATCCTGGATGCAGGCTCCCGCGAGCCCTGCCAGGGCCTTGGGGGGGCGGCTGCCAGTGCCCGAGAGGGGTGTGAGGGGGGGAGGGGCACTTAACGAAGGCCAGAAAGAACAAATTAGATAATCAAAAGAATTACAGTAATTGCTTTCACTTTCCCAAGACCGCGCTGCGGATTCCCTCTCCTGCCCTTCTCTGGCTTTGGGTCTGTCGGGAATACTGGGTCTTCCCGCCCCCTCCTCCCTCCCCTCGCCACCCCCAGGCTCCTCTTCCCTCCCCCTTTCTCTTCTCCTCTCTTTCCCTCTCCACATCTCTCCTCTCCCTGGGCTCCTCTGCGCTCCCTCTCTTCCCCACTCTTTTGGTGTGCTGGAACGCTCGCCGGAATATGATGAATGATTACCTGCCACGGCTTGTTTATTATAATGCGGGCAATCAATTACACATCCCCAACACTGGCCGGCCCGCAGGAAATTTATATGCTCAGCACAAACCAATGTGAAAATGGAATCTCATTTGCCAAATGTCTTTCTCCCGGTACAGCACGATGATTACAGTCTGTGTTTGTTTCGACAGTCGTGTAGGCCTGACAGTGCCATCATTTACTGCCTGGCTTAGGTCAGTTACTCTGAGGCTTTATTTATTGTGTTACCAAGGCCTGCGCAGGTGGAGGACAAGGGTTTCTGTCAGGATGCCACCTTGTTAAAAAGTGGGCAGGCTGGGCCGTGGAGGGCAGCATTGCCACCTCAGGCCCCGAGCCTTGTCTCAAAGCCACCTCTCCCAGTATTCAGCTGCCAGAACTCCCCCAAGACCATCCGGGGACACAGCTCTTCCATCAAGAACTGTCCAGGCCCTGCAATCAGAGGGACCAGAGTTCGGAGTCTACTTCTGAGTAATGGTGTGTGTGTCAGGGACTCAGTCTCCGCATCTGAAAAATGGGAATTTAACAGTCTCCCTTAGGAACAGGTTTTAACGTTTTCCTCACCTTCCTTACAAATACGGCTGTCTGGAACAGCAGAAGTGTGGATAAATGTTAAGTCCCTGTAGCTTGAGAAAGGGGTTCCATTGGAAGGGATGTGAATTGGAATTCGTGCCCTGTATTATTGAAATCTCACTTAAGTTGGGCAAGGTGGTACAAGCCTGTAATCTGAGAATTCTAGGAAACAGACAGAAGGATTGTGAGTTCGAGTCCAGCCTGGACAACTTCAAGACAGTGAAACCCCATCTCAAAATAAATAAGGGCTGGAGATGTAACTCAGTGTGAAGACCCTGGGTTCAATCCCTCGTACTGCAAAAACAAACAAATAAAATTTAAAATACCCCAATCTGCACTTTTGGAGACACGGCAGTGTTAACATGGTTTATTTTCCTTCCTAGTGGGATTTTGGAAAATGTGTTTCCTCTGCAGTGACACAAACTGTGCCTGGGAAAATAAAATCCCCCTCCCCCCACCCCTGCTTCCGTTTCTGTCCTTGTAAAAATAGACACTAGCAGTGTGGCCTTTCTAGCTGTGTGACCTGAGGCCGCTCCATCCCCCCAAGCCTTGGCTCCCTCCCCTGAGAAGTGAGGAAAATAACTGCTAAACTGCTTCCCTCGGTCTTGCTGGCAGGGCCTGAGGTGTCCAGAGATAGGAGAAAGTGCCGTGTAAACTGCAAAGTGAAGTTGTCACTGTGCTGTGACACCCTTTTGTCAGGAGTTCTGGTAGGTTGTGAGAGTTTGGCTGGGCAAAGCGTTGCCCCAAACCTGCCCTCCCTGCTGCCAGCGTTTGCTACCAGGGGGTGTTCCAGTGAGTGAGGGGTGGGCAGATTGTGTGTGACTCTGTCTTGTCACAGATACATCTGGTGGAGGCTGTCTGCCCTGCTGTATAAAGGTCCCCCTGGGGAAGGAAGGTGGTTGATTTCTGTCACCTCTGTGATTCCCATTGCTGAGGCGGTACTCAGCGCAGCCTGGGTGCTCAGTAAATATCTGTGGCCTGGATGGATACAAGGCTACAGAACTGAGCTCGTGCCCAGGGCAGCCCCTGCTGCGCAGCGCTCAGGCTTTGGAGAGGGATGTCCGTTTGCTCGCGTCTTTGCTATTCCAGAACCTTGCAGGACAGGCTGTGCCCCGTGCCCACCCTGGCCTGGATGCTCCAAGCACACAGACCGTGTGAACTGGTGACAGGCCAAGTCGTGTTTGCCCAACGACTCCTGCTCCCTCCTCAGGTCAGGGCCCTGGGAAGGGACTCCCCGTTCCTCTCACAGGCTGCGCGGCCAGGTAGGCTCAGCCCTCTCTAGGCCACGAGCTCGTGCATGGGCAGCTGAGCCCCATTCAGAGGTGGGTCTCCAGAATAGCCCGTGAATGCTTGTTTGGAAGGAGGTACATTTCAATCATCAATCAATCAATCATCATGATTGATTAGCTTTTCTGAACACTGTTGTACAGACAACTTGGAAATTTTCATTAAAACACCAGATTAAGAAAGAAATGATTTAAGTTCATGGTTTATTTAATTTTGTTCATGTTAGGTTTCTTTCTTTGTTTTTTGGTACCAGGAATCAAACTCAGGAGCCTGCACTTGCCAGGCTGCCAGGCAGGTGCTTGTGCCTGCTGACCTATGTTGCCTGGGCTGTTAGGTTCTGAGCCAGGGTCTTGCTAAGTGACTAAATTGCCTCCCCCCACCCCTTTAATTTGCAGCCTTCCTGCCTCAGCCTCCCAGAGTGCTGGGGTTGCAGGCACGCATCATCACTCCCCAGCTCAAATGCACAGTTTAAGCGAAACATTAATGCTGTGTTGTATATTTTGTTTTTATTTTATTTTATTTTATTTTTATTTATTTGAGAGAGAGAGAGAGAGAGAGAGAGAGAGAGAGAGAGAGAGAGAGAGAGGTGTGTGTGTGTGGCCAGCTCAGCCCACCAGGGGGCGGGGCTGGCTGGCATGTGGTGCTGGGAATTGAACCGCAGTCCCTGATGCTTTGCCAAGCTAGTTCCAAGTAGGTGCTTTAGACCACTGAGCCATCTCACCAGCCCTGTGTTGTATATTTTGGTCAAGCGCTTCCGATCCGCGAAAGGGATTTCTTCCCGCAGATGTAAGCATTAGTCGCCGCTATTATAATAACACCAAGGTTGGCTGCACAGCGCTGCGTCCCCAGCCCCGATTCCCTCTGCTGCTGTGCCTCACTAGGTGACTAACAGACCTTATTCCCTGACTGCGCCACAGCCCACTGATACTAGCCTCCCGTGGGCGCGGAGGGGAAGGGAGCCCGAGCCAGCGCAGGCCGCAGCCTCCTGGGGGAGAAGCCGTGTCTGGAGCTGCTCTGACAGTTGAGGCGCGAAAGCGCGGCAGACAATGGGAAACGAAACATTTGAGTGGCTTTGAAAAATTCCGTGGGAAAGCCCCCCTTCCCTGGCCCTGTGGCGTTTGTGTGCGACAGCTGTGATAAGGAGAACCTGGGGCTTTTGGTTTCAAGGGTTCCCGAGCAGATGACAGTGGCCTTGGGGTAGGGGGGGCAGTCCCCAGCAACTGCCTTCCCTGCCCGCCCGCCTGCCTCCCTGCCTGTTGGTCTGTCTTCCCAGGGACACTGTCCACACACAGGACGCGGGCGGTGAACTGCAGTGGCTGGGTAGAGAGATCAGCCACGCTGGTAGCATCTGGGACCCAGTCCCTCTGCTCTGAGCATAAGTCGCCTGCTGTCCTGTAGGTGTTCCGTGAGCCGGAGAACCTGGGGAGCTCTTGAGCTCGGGCTTCCTTCCGACCTCACCTCCTCCGCAGGACTATTAGAACAGCCCCCGCATTCAGACTCCTCCGGTGTAATTAAAAAACCCAGCATAGGGGGCCCTGGCACTGGGCATGGTGGCGCATGCCTATAATCCAAGCACTGGAGAAGCTGAGACAGGAAAGAGTCCGAGCTGCGTAGCAAGACTCTGTATCCAAAATAAAATAAAATAACAAATCTTTAAGATAACCTGTATTGCAGACGTTTGGCAGTGGCTGTGGGTCAAGGGCTTACAGATCTGCTGAAAAGTAAGGGACATCGATCTTTAAAGATCCTTGGTAAGTGGGAAAATGGCCCTGAAGCAGGTTAAGTAACTCGCCCCTGTGCCTCGGACCTGCGGCTTCCTTTGCAGAGTGACAAAATCCTAGCATCCATGGATTTATGCTGGATTATCCAACTGTGAGGCGACAGCTAGCTCAGCTTCTGCTGTGGTTGGGCCCAGACTCTCAAGGCTGGTGGAGCAGAGGGTTGAGGCCCAGGCTGTGCTTGCTGCCTAAGCCTAGCCGAACCGTACAGAGCATGAGTGAGTAGTTCCCCAGAGAAAACCAGGGTGCTCTTACCAGAGGAAAGAGGAGGGGCATCAGACGGTCCCATTGGTGTTTTCCAAAATGTGTATTTTGGGAGGAGCTGCAGGCACTCAGCCAGGGCCTTATCACTCCCCTCCCCTACTTCAGCCACCCCTCGAGTCTTATGCCTGTACTCTCAGCTCCCTGGTACACCTTTATTTCAACAAAGAGCTCCCCAGATATTTTGCTTTTTAAAACTTTTTAAAAACATTTTTTAGAGGCCAGGGAGATGGCTCAGTGGAATAAGCACTTCCCTGGCAAGGGCAAGGGCCTGAGTTCAATCCCCTGTTCCACAAAAAAAAAAAAAAAATTAAAATTTTTGAATTTTAGTTTT